TATATATATATATACATTTCCAAACAAAGTGAGTCAGCTAATTTTGATACCTTAAATATCATCGTTATTTTGAAAGATACGTCAACAATATTTTTGGAATTTTTTGAGCCCCATTGAACCATTCAATATTTTTTTTTCCTTTAATATATTTTTAAAAATAACAAAAATATTTAAGGTATCAAAGTTAGCTGAATTATTCTGTATATATATATTGATGGGAAAAACTAAAGGAAACAGTTTATGCAACTTATTGTGATATAGTTCTACACTCGATGTTATGGTAAAACTAATTAAGAAGGGAGTTGTAGAAATGAATAGAAATTTGTAATAAATTTGCCACGTCGTAAATAACATATTTTACAACGCGGTGTCAAACTTGAATTCGCGATAGACGAACGGGCAACATTTAAAGAACACTTTTACAAAATTTATGTTCTAACTTTTGTAATAAAGTTTTAAATGACCTATGTGTTTTTATATATAACATTTTCTTTTTCTTTTTTTCTCCCTTATTTTTTCAGCGTAGAAATACGGTCACAAAAAAAAAAAAAATATATATAAAAAAAAAAAAAGCAACGTTCAAATTTCGTTCGTACGAAAAAAGAAGAAAAGAAATACATCTGACGCAACCCTGTACATTAATGAAACGTTCTAACGCGTAATTCTTTATCACGTTTTTTCTTCTCCTCCTCTACTCGTATTACAAAAAAAAAAAAAAAAAGAAAAAAAAAAAAATCACGNAAAAAAAAAAAAAAAAGAAAAAAAAAAAAATCACGATTATTATATAAGTAAGAGAAATTATTCTTATTATCATTTATAACACGAATACGAAAAATAGAGGATCTTTTTCTTTTACTAAATGAAACAATATATAATAATAATAATAATAATAAAATATAATGAAAATAAAAATTTGTTGATCGTATAACAAAATTGAACGAAATTATTTTCGCGCAGATCTGCACAAATTTCCTTTTAGTTTTTATTCAGTTCTTCTTTTTAGATTTCTTCTCAACATATGTTCGTTCATCCTCCATTAATCGTCATCGTCATTCTCTCTCTTTCTTTCTTTCTTTCTTTCTACACAGACACCACCACTCTCTTTCTCTCATTCTCTCGATTCCGTTTGTAAATTTGTTATCGTGTAATTGCATACCTGAGCAGCACGGACGCTGTCTCGGGAACACGGAACACCTGAAAAAGAGAACAACCACCGCTCTATCGAATCCACAACGTAGGGGGATAACTCAAACCCCAAAAAAACATGTGTAACCTCCTTTTTTTTTTTTCTTTTCTTTTGTACAAAAAAAAGAAAAATCAATCGATACAAAAGATGACGTAAAAAAAGAAATATCTTGATTCTTTCTTTATTTCCCTCCTCCTCACCCCACCCCTCCCATCCCACCCCTCATCTGTTACTTTCCCCTTAAATAAAATAAGGGAAAATTTAAAACGAGCTTTGACGAAAAAAAAAAGATAAAAAAAAAAAAGAAAAAAAAAAAACAACAATTGTTTCCGAAGGTTTTCAATGCAGTGTGAGTGAGATCGTTAAAATTTATCTGTACGAGAGAGCCCGGATAGCAATAAATGATCAAATACGACGCGTCAAGGTCAATCAAATTGTTTTTTATAAGAGGAACAAAAAGTTTCCCTCTTGTTGTCTGACTAAAATCTATATTAACTCTTCAAAGAAAAACTGTAAGAATATTCGTATGCATTATATCCGGTTGGTACGAACGAAGAGAGAAACGAGAACGAATATTCTTTTTAAGTTATTTTTTTTCTCTCTCTTCTTTTACTCTTCTTATCTTTTTTTTTGGTGATAAGAAGAAAGATCAAGACGAGACATTTTCTTTTTTTTTTTCTTTCTCTCTCTTTCTCATACTGTTATTATTTTTATTATTATATACACACTGGTGGATTATAAATCAGTTGACAAAAATATACGTTATTACTTTAAACACAAATTTAATTTAAAAAAAAAAAAAAAAAAAAAAAAAATGTAATAACAACTCTACAATTTATCTCTAATTTTATCATTTTTATCAACTCTATATTTATCATTTATTAAGAAAAACGTAATTTTAAAAAATTAATAATTAATTAGCTAGCTAGCATGCTTGTGTTATCGTATCTATTAATAACACACATGAAAAAATAAAAAATGTTAATTGTACGTCTACGTTTCAATGGTTTAATTACTTCCTTCGTAATCATCAGAATTACTGCTTTCATTACCAATATAAATATCTATTTTTATTTTCTAAAATAAAACTCTACTATATACTCGAAATAAGTGAAATCAATTAAATGTTTACAAATGTTTAAACCGTTAGCACCAATTTACAGTGTTTCATCTCAGGGTCCATTTATTAATAATAAAAACACAATAAGAAGAAAATTGTACGTATATATACTTTAATAATGCAAATTGATTAAAGGGTGAATATCTATTAACCACACAACTGATTTATGGAACCACATTCTTGTATATAATTAAATTTTTCTATAAATTGTAACTTTTGAATCGTCTTCATTCGTACCATTCGCTCTTTCCTTCTTTCTCTTTATCGAATTGTGTTTGTTTTCGGGGTAAAAAAAAAAAAAAAAGAGAAAAAAAAACTAATAAATAAATAAATAAAAATGTCTGTAATTCTCGGATGTAATTAAAAATAACAAATCGTCACACAAAACAAATTTATCAACAAGTAACAAAATGTGGTCATCCGTTTATCACGGTGACGTAACATAGGTTTCCCTCTTTTTTCTTTTTTTTATTTTTTTGTGTGTTTCTTTAGTTTTCCTTAAAATCCAAAATGTTGAAAGCAAAATAATATATATATATATTTTATGCCTACTTTCCATCCCATGTTTTCGAAGAAAGTACACAGCCGTGCCTGTCCCGTTGTTTTTCCTCCGCAAGGTCCTGCACAAACAAACAAACAATTTACAATTAATTAATGAATTAATTAATTAATTTAATAAACGATATATAATTCTATAATCGTAGAATGAAATTATCGAAACGTGATATATTATATGATAACCTTGACTGTTACAAATGCCACGTGGATGTACAATTTTATTGGCACAAATAGAAACGAAAAAATGCAATCTCAATTAAATTCGAATAAGATTACGTGTTAATAATTAAAACTTCCAATTATCAAATAACGTTCTCTGTATTGTATCAAAAAATAATGTTAAGGAAAACAATGGAGTATAATAGAAACATTCGTGTTATATATTCGAGAGTTATAAAGTCGTGTTATATGAAAACCGTGTCATAAGAATATTGTTTCTCGTTCGATCCGGTTCGCTAACGTGAAGGCTAAATACATTAAAGTACAAGTTCTTTTTGTTAATGCAATATTTATTGTCAAAAGTATTAAGAGGTCTTGGTGAACAACAGCGTCACTGCAATTCTGACTGCATTTTTTCTTGTTGTCATCAAATATCTTTATGGGAAATTATCATTGCTGTATGGTATCCTTTTTTTCTGAGATTCCGATCTTTATAGCTCAATAAAAAAAAAAGAGAATGAAAAATTATGAGTAATAGGTATGCTCGAAACAACATTCTGTGCATTATGCATGTTTCCAATACGTTTGTAAAATCACTCGAGAATTCAAAAAATGATAACTGCATTGATATGAACGCTGTTTGCTTAGAAAATTCCAACTGTGTGAGAATCTTTTTCATTTTTCTACCATCGTTGTGTTGTATTATACCCTTTATACAACACATAACACTTAGCTGCTCTAACACATAAGTACAAAATTTTCCATATAAGTATTTTACGAGTCTAATTTATAAGCTGATCGATTCTTACCATTTCTCATTATTGTCATCGTAACTAACTAACTACGTTAGTAGTAGAAATCGATATGTAATACGATAGCTTATGATAACGATTACCGTCCTTCATGATGTGTATATTTCAGAGAAAAAAAGAAAAAAAATAAAGAAAACGTTTATAAAATATTAAAGATGAAACGTCATATAAATGTGACGATTATTTCTAAAAAAAAAAAACGTTAACGTTAATAAACGTATCTATATAAGATACTATTTTTCAAAATTCTTATTCATTTAATATACTCATATAATCGTTAAAAATAAACGATATTGTTGATAACAGTGGAAAAACATTTATTATTAAATTGATATTTGAATAAATCGAAATGTATTATCAAATACGTCTTCTTCTACTTCTACTTCTTTCTCTTCTTGGTGTATAGGAGTGAAAGAAGCGATTCTTCTTCACGGTAGAATTGACCATTTATATTTTTATTCCTCTCTTTAATTGATTTAAATTGTACTAAACTGATATTAATAGGACGATGCACGCAAACTCGTTTATACAGATCTTCAGACATTCATCCCAACACGATATTTTTCTATTTTTTCTATTCTACTATACCTTATTTTTTTTGGGGTATATTCACAATAAACATTTCTACTATTTATACATGTTACGGTTAATGTTGAAATAACAGGGATTCTATAGGATGTTCAGAAAAAGTTTCGGTTAATTTATAAAATGTGTTTCATTAATTTATTTGTTTTTAAAGATTGGGCAATGGACGTAGTGTAATTTTAAGCTATTGTAAGTAAAACAAACCATATGCAAATTTAAAATATCAATTTATAAAATGTGCTTCAGTGAAGTGTATTTAGAGCATGGGGGAGGAGGGAATGGGGAAATCTCAAGGTATTGTCTATAAACCCAGACAAATGAAGCACACTTCTATAGAATTCACGTTTCTCCGCATTAATCTCGTAACATGTTTAATTCATTAGTTCATTAAGAATGGTGCATCCACGTTGTTTAGTAAATCTAATTGTAAATTGCATTTCTTTCAATTGTAAATGTATACATTAATAATACAAATTTTATGTCCAATTTCGAAATACCCTATTTTCTTTAAAATAACTATCAATCGAGAAAATTTTACAAACGCGTTACGTTACACTTAAAAATATGATCTAATTACGCCATGCATTATCATAATTGAAGATAAACGTCAGATGACCTTCAATGTTATAAAGTAGTTAATCAAATTATGAAATCCGCTTGTCTATATGTGTATAAAGCCAATTTTTACATTCTTTTTTTACTTTATTTAATTATACTTAAAGAAGACAAGAGAAAATATATAATCTTAAAATACGTATCAAAGTAAACCAATAATATACAAATAACATATATGTATAATAAAAATAATTAATTGAACCTCTATCGAGACAATTTAACAAAAATAATATATTTAACAATCTAATGGAAGATAATAGTCGATTTTGTATTGGTTTAAATTATAAAAAAAAAAAAAAAAAGAAAAATTTATAATTATTATAATAAAATCGTCAAATTTTGGAAATTGGTTCGTGAAACATTTTTTCTGTTAAATACACGTAACAAAGAAGAAACTCGTGAATATTGTAAAGGTTATTAAGGAGATAGGTAAGGGAAAAAACTGAAGAAAAGAAAATGGCTTTTCATTTGACGAATAACGTAGTCCCCTTTCAACTTTCTACCTGTGTTTCATTGACGAAAAGAAATCATCCCTCTACCTCTCTATCTCTCTCTCTCTCTCTATCTTTCTTTATCTCTCTTTTTATCTCTCTCTATCTTTCCCTTGAACCTTCTTTTAAAATATTCTTCTTCTTTTTTTTTTCTCTCTCTCTTTCGTATGCTTCTCTCGTTTATATTTTTTCAGCTTGAAAAAGACTTCCGAATAATTTAAATGCACGCGCGCGGTTTCACGATAGGAGGAGCACCCATTATTGTCGTATTGCGCGGGTATCGTTGTTGCTGTCATCTTTTCACCTGTATAGTACTCCACGAATTCGATCGATATTTACTCTCCTCTCTTCTCTCTCTCTCTCTCTCTCTTTTTCTACAAAGAGAGGGATACATACAGTCTGAGAATAACGTAAATTAACGATAAACGTTGCATAGTAAAATAGTATTAAAAAAAACAAATATAAATAATAATATATATAATATAATTAGAAATATATAATTAATAATATAAAAAATAAAACATATATTATATACAAATATATAATATAATTATAATATATTAACAAATCGTCGACAAATTTTATATATTTTTGTATTCACTAAAATAAGCCAACCAATTATACGTTCATCTACGAGGGAATGATAAAAAAAGAAATGATATGTGCACGTGTGTTGGTTTTAGAGATTATTTTCTATTTAAAGGAAAGAAAAAATAAAACGTAAAAATTTCAATCGTAAATTTTTACCGTAAGTTCTCTCTTTTGTGAGAATAATTTAACGTAGAAATATGAAGAAATAAAAGACAAGTATTATGCAAGAGCAGTAAAACATTCGTCGTAGGTGGAAAAACGAGCACGTGGTTTCTCGAGAGCGTGAGAGTGAAAGAGACAGAGAGAGAGAGAAGAGAGAGAGAGAGAGAGAGAGAGAGAAAGAGAATGCTGGCTGAGTTGTATGTTGAGATTCTTCCCAAAGATATTTCATATAATAATAATTTACAAAAGAAAGAAATCTTGTCTATCCTTGAAACTTTGGAAAGACAGAAAAATCTAAATTGATGATTGGTAGAGAGAAACACAAGGTTGAAAAAGGAATAAATCCGTTATAAAGAGATAAAGTAAAATGTTTGCTTACCTCCTGTGAGTACTAATTTGTACAGCCTCTTCTGTTCCATTTCGAAAGAAAAGAGAAGAATCCTTATTCAAATAATATTTTTTTAGAAATTTATTAAGCCACGCGAGCTGTAGCACTTCCTACATCCGATACTGGTTTCGCGACGTCCGACACGTGAATGGCGTCTCGTTGTTTCACAAATGCAATAAATACTACATCAACACGTCGTCGTACATGTCGAAACGTATTATTATAGTTGAATGCACTGAATGCATGAGTGTAGATCTCTAGAGAGACGATGTTAAAAAGTATTACGACAAAAACGATATCACCGTTCTCGTCGCGAACTTGAAACAACGAACACACGGCTCGAAATGAAATAAGTCCCGTTGCACTAACCTTGCACGCCGAGGACTCATACACCTTTAACTCGACCGACAGAAGCCGAATGACGACGAACTTAGCCGAGCTCTCATAAATGCGTAAAGTCGATGCGCACGAGGAAACCCAAAATGTATTTACATGTATGTTATGGGTCATTATCGCATTCTTATATTTTTTTTCTTATAACGATTTGATTGCATGCATAATAAAATATTAGTTACATATTAATATATCATTCTGTTATTATTTTCTTATTAATTTCATTGAATCAATACACGAACATTATACGGCAAGCAAAATTTTATTTAGGAAGTATAATAATTGCATATTTGCAATAATGATCTTACACATTTGTGTATGATGAATTTTCATTTATTTTTAGTGTAAAATTTTCACAATAGATTAACCTAATTTCCACTGAATTTTATTTGTAGATATTATCATAATGTATATTTGAACATTCTCAGCGAGAGAATTTTATTATTATATTATTTAAATAACAATTAAATTCACTTACTATTTCATTATCTTTAACCTTTAACTAACAATGTGAATGCAACAGATCTAAAGAGTTTTAATTAAAACTTCTTACACCTTTATTTTATAGTTTCTAGTCTTAATTTTTAAAATATACTATTTCATGATCTATGATTTGTAAAATACTGTATAGTTTTGTATATAAAAGCATATCCGTTTAGAATAACATTGTTAACTTTTAAAATAGAGTTTAAAACGATTATAATCAGAGATATAAGTACAGTAGAGCATCAATTATCTAAAAAACAATTATCCAAATGACCGTTTAAAAAATTTCTGTAAACAAAATCTGGCAATATTAAAAGACAATTTTAATATTAATGTAGTAAGTTATCAATAATAATAATCAATGTTCTAAAATATATAGCGTATCTCTAAAATGTTAGTGTAGAGTACATTATATGCAAGGATCAAGTCTTTGAACAAATTTTAATGGTATACCAAGGTTAAGCAATTTATCCGGTGATCGATTTCTCAAATCCGAAATGTAATAATTTAATGCTAGCCAACATATTTCAGATAATTTAGGTATTGTTAACCAAACTGCATAAACAGCATCTGTTCTTGCTGCCTGAAATAAACATTTAACAAAATGATAAAATAACTAAATATTATATGTAATTTCGTACGTACAAGAATGATAAAATAATACTTACTTTATCGCGTTGCATGCTTACACCACCAAAAGTATACATACGACCCTGAGGAGTTAAGGCAGCAGAATGAAAGAATAATGGACGTGGGAGTTTACATTTTTTTAGGCAAGTCCATTGCATTTCACTCAAATCTAGTCTCCAAACATCGGAAAAAACAAAAGCACCATTTGTACCCCCAGAAACAACAACATAAGTTACACCTGTCTTTTCATCCATATATTGGACTACGCCATGGCAGCGTCTAGGAGCAGGAATTGTATTATTCTCGCTATCGCCTTGGGTATTTAAAATTGTCCATTTTCTTTTTTCCAGATTAAAAGTTGGTATTTCCTTACAATTCATAAATATATATTTAGTACTAGTACTTTTTATAAGAAAAATTCTATCGCATTTGAAGAGAATTATAAGAATACTTACTGCTAAACTAAATGCCTCAGTGCCAGTACCTCCTCCTATAACATAAATGTTTTTTCCATCAAATCCAAGCTCATGTCTATACCGTCCCATTGGTTCTGATAAATCCTTTCCGGTACAAATGTAGACTTTTTCCCATAATCCAGTTTCAAAATTAAATCTATGAATATCACAAGTATATTCTCTTCCAGTTGTACCGCCAACAGTATACAGATAAGGTTTATGAAATAGCAAAGCTTGTCCATATTGTGGTTTCGGCATGTCACCTTTTGCTACCACTCTTGATGTTTTTCCATCATTGACATTACATACATAAAGCTGACCATTACAGACGTCACCAAAGGGTACACCTGTTCCACCATAAACTATCAATGCGTTTCCTTTCAAAACAACCGCATTAGATGCTAATTCATCAGGTAGATTTTCTCGGCCAGGTAAACGTTTCCATTGATTCGTGGCTAAATTAAATTTCCAAATTTCTTTAAAAAGTGGCTTACTGGAAAGCCATATGCCATCATTTCTCATATCACGATCATAATCAGTAATGCAAGGGTTAAATCCACCATATGAATAGAGGTTTTTATGGTCGCACACTATTCTGTGTCCACTTCTTGCTTTTGGTCGTTCTAGGCATCGTGAACGATGTCTTGCAATAACAAATGGTTTAAAAACATACATTTTTTTTACCGTTGCTTCATCACTTCCCTAAAGAAATAATGGTTAGGTTTATGATTTTTGATGTGAAAATTTTTTACAAAGCAAGCTTTTTAAATAGATTATGACAGAAAATCTACATATGATAAACGTTTTTTATATTCCTTACACATGCAACCATAGAATCTGTACACAATCACGTACTACATAAATATATACGTGGCTATACATTTTGTGTTAGTTATTACAGTATATAGAGAGAAGCAATAATGGCGTCTAGCTAGAAAATATTTCTATTTATATTCTTGAATATCTCTTAACATACATTTTTTCTTACATTTACACTTTTATCGTTCATCCTACTTGTAATACTCTTTATAAGACACAATTATTACTTCCAATTGTACAAACTTAATATTACTAACATTTTTTGTTAAAAATCTAACCATGTATGAAACCGATGTAAATCTTATATATCAAATATGTGCCTAATTTCTATTAAATAGATTTTCTAATGTCTAATTATTTCTTCTTAATTATCTTTCTTGAAGTAAAATCAATGTAAACGTAGTTGCATTACAGGCATACAAAGTTTTAATTTAAAACCAGCTGAAAAGAGTTAAAATCCTTTTTTTAACTGCACTTACAAATTATATACATATACATATGCATGCATACACGTATCCTGAATTGCTTTGCGACTGCGCGTCATCGATCAGCTGAGTGATTTACAGCTAGTTATGCAGGATGCACCTGTGCTTTACTTGATATATTTATTTGGTGTTTCATGCCATGCTTCTGCAATTAAGTTAATTATTTTCTAATTGCGTCTTCGCATTTTGCAATTCTGCAATGTTGCAATATTGCAATTTAGCGCTTGAACACATGTAGATTCCGTTTAATTAAATAGGTACGTAGTTATTCAATAGAATGTCTAAAAAAAATATTTTAATACATAATATATTGACAAATAGTTGTATTGCATAAAAAGAATAATATTATTTTTATTTGTACCATTATCATTATTTATTCTCGTAGTATAACGAAATTTATTGTTTTCCTTTGTAATTAATTATTATAAATTATTATTATTATAATGTATATATATATATTATACATATGCATCTTTAAAAAATGGCGCCATCTATATAAACTTGAACTTCGTACGAAGTGTATTTCTAACCTAACCAATACCCATGATCGAATCTTGAGATAAAATTATACAATTGCAAAGAAGAATAACAAAAATAGTTGCAGAAAGGAAATGAGTGATGTCGAATTACAAGAGGAAGAAAGAGAAGTATTACTTTCTATTTATGAGGGTGATCCAGCATTTAATCAGTTAACACCCACTACCTTTCAGTACAAGGTTCGATATATTACAAAAAAGTTTTAATTTTACTTGAAAAATTTATTTTATTATTCATCGGATCATCATTATTTTTACTTTTACGAATATCAATTAAAACATTCGATATTGCGTCAATTTTAATTGTAACCTGTTACTATCTGAAAACAAAAAATAATGCCATTTTTAATACATATGTTTACGCTTAACATATTTTTATATACAGTATGGAGAAGATAATGACACAAAGTCATTTCTATTGGAAATTTCATGGGGTCCGACATATCCGTCTGAAAAGCCAAACATCAATATGAATATATTTTACAATAAACACATGTAAGTGAGTTGACAAAATTATCTGATTTTTTTGTATTCTATGGTTTTGATTAAAGGTAAATAATTGGAATATATAGTGTGCAAGAAGTAAAGGATGAAGTAGTGAAACAATTAGAAGCAGAAGCAGATCAATGGTTAGGTAGTGCCATGACATATACATTATTCCAGTATGTTCAAGAACATTTTACCGAACTGTTATCTATGCAACTGGATTCTATTACTGATATAAATTCACAAGCCAGTAAACTTAAAATATCGAATGAGAATCAACAGGTACATAAATAAAATATGTATTATAGATTTTATTATATTGACATAAGAATTAAAGATTTCATTATTTTAAAGACGGAAGAAACTGTAAAAAGACCAAAGAAAGAACAATTAAGCAAAGCTCAAAAACGTAGACAATGGAATAAAGCAGATGGAAAAGGAGAAAGACCACGAGGATGGGATTGGGTGGACATAGTGAAACATTTATCGCAAACTGGTCCAAAACAGGAACAAGAGTCGTCTTAGTTTACGTTTTCTAAGACTTTATTGTACAGATTTAAAAAAGGTATCTCATATTTTTATAAATGCTAGAAATAAAGTATTCTCTCTCTTTCTCTTTTAATCGATTTTCTAATTATTCTTGAGATTTTTTAATGTTCCATACACATCTCCATGAATTTATGGGTAAAAGATTAATTTTCAAATTCCATTCTAAAAATAATCAATGTGGTTTTATAAAAAATCTTATGCAAAAGTTCTATTATTAATTATCATTACATACCTTTGTTTTCTAAATGTTTTACAAAAGTTTGATATTCTTTATCAATAATAGAATCTGTATCATAAAAGGTACTTTCCATAGACGACAAAGAATTATGATCTTGAAGAGAATCATATTTCTTATAAAGAAGATATATACGTATTAAGGGAAATGAAGGTCTATATGTTTCAGTTGTTAATAATAATTCCTAAAAAATATATAAGTATTTAATAAATTAACGATTAAAATGGAAAGGTCAATTGTTAGCAATTAAAAAAAAAACTTACAATTGGAAATTGTTGTGATATACTTGTTAATATACCACAAAGGCAAGCATGAAAGTATGCTTTTAATATTTCATACTGTTCTATGTTTTTTTTCAATACCACATAAATAGTCTTTTTCTTATTATCCACAAATATTAAATATTCCTTATGTTGAAAATCTTTTAGAAAATCTTCTATATGCTTTGATAAATTATGATTATTTCTTTTTAAAATATATGAAAGTGACACACCTAATTCTATATGAAAACCGCATATATCCTTAGCTAGAAAAATAACATAAAAATCTATAACAAAATTGTTTTAAATTTCTATAGAATAATAATATAAATTATTCTTACTAGGTTTTTTCCAAAGGAATACAGATTCTTTTTTATTAATTTCTGCTGCATTAGGAACAGTTCCATGAATAAGATAATTTTTTACTAATAATGCAAGTCGATCTTCATTTAATGCGTTTAGCCATAAAACTTTAATCGCTGAATAATTGGCATATAAATGTACTATTACCAAAAAGACATAGAGCTCTAATAAATATCTATAAAAAAAAAAAAAATATTCACAATTAAAAGATAATGCGCGCGCGTATATATAAATAAACTAGTAAAATTACCGTTCATCATAAATAAACGACAGTATGAAAATTCCAATGAAAGATGCAACAAGATTAACACAAGTTTCTTGACTTCCATCTTTAGCTGAAACATCTGCTAAATTGTTTTGTAAAGCCTAACATAAAAAAGTAGCATATTAATTATAAATAATGACATCTCTATATAGAAGATAAATGAATTTTTTTTCAGGAAACCTGATGTTGCGTTAATGCAGCTCTGGTTGCTGCACCGGCTACGCCAACAATAGATTTCATTGCTGTGGAAGCACACAGTACGACCATTGAATGAGTTAAGAAATAAGGTATTAATAATTCCATGCCCATTGCCACATCATTAAGAATATCCGCAAAAAATCTCCATTTTTTACATTGTCTATCTAGGTCAGACCTAATAGATAGAAATACAAATTGTAAACATGAGAGAGAGAGAGAGGGAGAGAGAGAGAAGTTACAATATAGAGATTGATAATATTTAAGATTTATCATGTTTATATTGATTGCGAGATAAAACTTATTAACAGTTTTTATGAGTAGTTTAAGTAGCAATTTTATATGGTTTACCCATTCCACCATGCAAAAACTATGCGCCCAACCATACCAGTTCCATCTTTTAAAATCCAAGTTATTGCTGCAGCTAAAGGTGTCGCAGTAGATTCTCCAACACCTACTGCTTGCATAATCGAATGAGTCGTGAGAGTACCCATTATGGTACTTGCAAATGCCTATTTCATTATTAGAATTATTTGTATACAATTTACTTTTCGTTTTTAACATGAAATGACAAATAGAGTATTCGCTGGTATTCTAACCTGTACAGTGTCCCATATTTGATAAGGAATGTAATCAGGATGAACACTATCAGGAAATCCTTGAGGTAAAAACACGTCTTTGATAATCGACGAGATTCCAGATAACAACGACTTTTTATTTTTGGATCCAGTTTTTAAATGAATTATTGACGTGTGATCTAACCTCAATTATATTAGAGAAACATAATAAGAATGTTATTTATTAAAAATATGCGTTTATAAAAAATAGTAATTCACCTTTTGAACTAACGTATATGTTTTCTTTCTCGTTACCAGATATTTCGGTAAATAAGATTTGATTTTCCATCGTAAATAATAAATAATATTAATCGATTTACTGTAGTTCGCGCGTTGCAATCTTCTAAGTATATTTTTATAAGAAACGATTGACGTTTATTCATTATTAAATTATTCCTTATTACACATTAATTATTATATTCACTATTACTTTATATATACCTATATTAGATATTTAATAGAGTATATTTTTGAATATTTATTATTGTTTATTTGTAATCAAAATATATAATATACATTATTAATTAAATTATAATATTCAATTCGATACGACTGAAATTAGTCGATAATATATGCGCCTATGAGAAAAAAAGAAAAAGAAAAAATATTCAAAAATAAACATGGATTTTTAGGCGAATGATCGTAAAATTTGCAGGTTACTTTTTGACAAAATTTTCTATTCGAACAAATAAACAATAAAATTGAAAAATTATACTATTTTAATTGTAAAATAAAATAATGAACGAAAATGAGATATGCGATATATTGACGCGTATTCAAGAAATTGAAAAATTGCAGAAAGAACTTCGAAATTTATTACCCAATGCGACTAATAAAAATCGCATTAACATAGAAAAACCCGTAGAAGTTAGTAATTTAAAAAGAGAATCATCATCAACGATACGTTTTCCATCTCTATTAACATTTCCTGGAATAAATGAACAATCAAATGTTAAAAAACATAATCGTATAAAAAGTACCAAAGAAATTCGATCATCGACGATGAATATGAACAATATTCAAACGAAAGTATCATTAAAGAATGTTAATGCATCTAAGAGAGCATCTTTAAATAGCATTATCAATGATTCTTCCGCAAAATGTCATCGCATCAACAATAATAAGGATCTTCCGAAAATATTAGAAAATTCGGTTAAAACGCGTGCACAAAATTTGCAATCTTTTAATTCGAAATCGACGTTGAACAATAAGAAAACATTTAATGCCTCAACGATACCCGAAAAGATTGTTAATAATATTCCGAAAATTGGAGATTCTAAGAAATCAGGGAAACAAAAACTAAATCATTCTAAACCGATGAACGTTAATAAAAACATAAAGGATAAAAATGAAGAATATATTTCGTCCGAATATAAAAAGAAATCAAATTTATCGTCAGGTAAATGCAGTGAGTTATTATATTTCCTTTGTATGTAATTTTGAATATTTTTGTATATTAGTCATGGAATTCACCATAGACTCCTCCTGTCCGCAGACATCGGATGTACAAATTCAAATGGAAAAATTAGAAAAGAATTCTGGAATGCTCGTATGTCGGGAAAATCAAAGTGAAAGGGAAAAAAGTAACGATATTTTAATAAAAAAAAGAAGATCCAAATTGGACATTTTGGAAAAAATATTGAAACGTTTGGGTTATTGCATTTTGGACGATCAAAGTATATCCTCGTCTATTGGTTGTTACTCGAATGATAAACCAAGATATTTTATTTTACGTAAAGTAGAGAAATCGCCTTTTATCAAAAACGAAAGACAGGAAACCGACGAAATTCTTTCTTCTATCAAAGAAGTTATTATTTGTACAAATATTGCAGCAAATAATGTTCGATTAGATTCTAATTTCAACAACAATATGGCGGCCATTTGCAAGATTATCAAGAAATTCGATGGGATTGATAAAGTATCGAAGATTTTTAAAATGTCTTGGAAAAAAACAAATTTCTCCGATACTTTACGACATGGTAATCGATTAATTGAGATACAAGATAATATGAACGATACACCGTGTTTAAATTTTAATAGAAATTCACGATTGAAGCCGTTCGAAACGATTAATACGAAATCGTTACGCGGGAAGAAATATTCTTTTAAATTTCTTCGTAAAATTTGTTTCTGTATGAATTTATAAAGAAAACGATTATATAAAGATGTATTTTATTTAAACGTTTGTGATTAATTGACAAAAAGAAAAAGAATAAAATATAGAACTTATTGTTAATGAAAAATTGTCAAGCCGAGAGATCGATAAATTCTTGAGCACCACGTAGCAATGCAACGAACGGACATGCAACGAACTACAAATGCATATATCCCCGACGATAGACTATATTGATACACGCGTGTACGTATGAAAAATTTCTTCTCTCTCATATAAATATAAAAATATGATATATAATGAATATAAAATATAATCTCGTTATATTTCAAAAATATTTTATAAAAGAAATAATAATCAAAATTCTTGTATATATAGAATAAAATTACAAAAAAAAACAAACAAAATTAGTTTGCCTGTAAAAAAAGAAAAAAACACACACACACACAAAGAAACAAAGAAATGTGTTGTAATGAGATTAACCGAAAACGACGTGAAAGAAATGAATTGATTGATTCAATTCGAATTTTTTTCTATAGGTAGAACCAAAAAAATTAGGTTGGAATTTGATAGAAATTGAAATGAAGAAGCTGTTAGTTGAACGCATTGGAATAGTGCGAATAAACGATCGAGTGGAGAAGTTAGAGGTTCGAATCCAGCGTCGTTATCCCCTCCGTTTGTTCCGACCCTCTCGTTTTGCAGTCAACGACTCCACGGATGGTGTTGCACTTGCGTGCACTCTCGTGCATCGAGGACTACGTACGTACGACGGCGTTGTGCATACAGACGCAATAGAAAGGTGCAAGGTATATATTTCTCAGAGTATGTAGAGTTAGGTAAAGGCAAGCTGGTGTACGACGATCTATCGATAAGTCGAATTTAGAATAGATATTATGTAACAAACGTTAGAGAATTTACAGAACGTTCCACTTGGTGTTTTAACTTTGAATAGATTTTACCTTAACATTCCACGCAAATCGATTTACATTCTCTTTGATTATAATGAACTAGTCGTAAATCGTTATTCTGTAATTAGCATGCCGTTTACGTGTATTATCTGGATGGGTTCCAAATTTAGGATTCCAGGAATGTCACCGCGTATCGTAGAATTAACTGACTCGATTATCTTTTCATTACAGATCCTTCGATACTTGTGGATACTTACGAGTTATTGGTAATTTAACAAGATCATATAACTTGCTACGAGAATCGCGTCTAATAATAATAAGAATAAGAATAAAAAAAAGTGAAAGAAATAAAAATAATAAGAGTTGGGTTAGGGCATACTAAAGACCTTACTATCTATCGTATACTTAGCAAGATCGTTTTCTTTCAACACTCGTCTCGATTCTTTTATATCCTGCCCTCCTTCATCCGGTTGATCTCCATTTCAGGAAGAAGAAGAAGCCTTGCAAGTACCCAACGTATTACCACCTCTTTCGAAAGGTATAAGAGAGAAAAATGGTGGTACTCTCTTTGATGAGAAACAAAAAGAAAAAGAAAAAAAAAGCAAGAAAAATAATAATAATATAAAAAGGAGAGATTATAGAAACGAATTTCAATCTCCTTTTTACCTTCGACTTACATACATACATACATACATACATACATACATACATACATACATACATACATACATACATACATACATAATATATAATACATGCATACTTTTCTCTCGTCATCCTGTTTCCCTCTTTCCTCTCTCATTACCTTTTGTCTCCTTGTCGGTCTTCTTCCTACGTAGTAGTAACCCCCCACCCTAATGTATCCCACGGATCCCTCTCTGTCCCTGGCACTTCCTGTGTTCCGCCACGTTCACCTGTGCCGCCACAGAACACTGCTACCCACCACACCACCTTACCACCACCTGCCTTCGTAAAACCACCTAGGTACAAGGCACCAGGGAAACCTGGCTAAGCCATGTCCTAGGGAGAGTAGAGAACTTTAGTTTCAGACTTGGTATATCAGTTCTCGTATCGCCTACTAACGAGTGTGTGTGAATGTGTCCCTTGTGCCAAAGCCATAAGTTCCTTTACCTTTATCTTCTCTGGAAAGCTTCTTTTGACGCAGTCAATGTTAAGCTACCGTTGACTTCGTTCCTCATCGTGAATTTGTCCCTTCTTTTGTTTTGTTTTTGGGTTCGTTTTCTTCTTCTTCTTCTTCTCAAAACAATCATTCTTTTGGTTATCATACCTTATCTATAATTTTGTTAAATATACCGTGAACACGTGCAATCGTGCAAATCGTTTATCGTGCTTTTATTTTATTGATCAAACCACTTGTTGCTTTTCTCTTCAACGACACGTTACAAAAACTTTTCTACTTATGTACTTTGTGTTATTTCCTTGACGTTCGATAAATAATAAGAGTGAGGATTCTCAACGGGTTTCACTCGACGCGTGGTAAGTTTATTTGTAATCATAGGCGTGTATATATATAACAAATATGTTACGTTGTAACATAAAATTATATATATTATTATATATATATTATATAATTATATATATTAAATATAATATATATAACAAATCATGTTACGTTGTTAAGAAATACTCGAATCGA